TTGAACCAAATTAAATTCTATTCCGTTACATCTTTTCATAAAATTAGTTAGAATATCACCTATTGACATGTTCATATCAATTAAAAACGAATATTAAGTTATATATGTACTTGTAAAGCAAAAAAATAAATTATGTGAATATATTAATATTCTTATCTTCTACTTTTTCTCATTCTAAAAAAAAATAACAAAGTAGTCAATTAAAACGAGTAAAAATTATAATTTTCATCTTTATTCGATTTAATCGGCGCCAAAAACAAATATTTTGTACATTAAATTCAATCGTTTTATCATAAAGGAATATACTAAATTTAACTAGAAAAATATAAAAAGTAGTACTCATCATGTTGAAGATGATTTAAAAAAAATTAATGAAATTATATATACTTATGAATTGAATAAAGAATAGTTTAGAATCACAGTGATAAGGATTCTCCAATAACTTGTTAATTATATTCGAGAATTTAAGCTTTGAATTACCTGTCAATCCTTAATAATACGATATATATATAAGATTCATTTATTAATTGAGTTGACTAATTAAAGCATATAAATCAAAGACGATCGGTAGAAATAAGAACATAATTTATTTATTTATTGTTGATTTTACTAAGAATATATATTGGAAGAGTGAAGGGTTTGTTTGTGGAACTTTCTTTCGAATCTTTGAAATTTCTTTTACATAAATAGTCGTTCATTAAAATAATAATAATAATAATAATAATAAAATATAATTTTTGTTTTAATGTATGATAAAATAGTATATATTTTTTATATGTATATTTTGCTAGCAAATACAGTTATATTTAATCATTGTAATTTGCCTCACCAGCGGAAAAAAAAAAAAGGCTCCAAAAACCTTTATTCTTTTCTTTCAATTTATTTCACATATTTTAATTTGATACAGAGTTTAAGAAAGTAAAAAAAAAAAAATTGAATCTTTTAATCTTAAATTAAAAATATGTCGAATAGATCAAAACATATTTAATTTTATAGTCTTAAACATATCACGCGAAAAATAAAAATTAAAAATTACTGAAAAAGAAAAGATATATTTTTTAAAAAAACGAACTATAAAAAAGTAGGACAAGATAAAATTAAAACTAAGGGACTAATTCTTTTGGTCCCTTCGCTATTGGTAATTTTTGATCTTTATGTTTATGACTCAATATATTTAATTTGAACTATTTTTAGTAGTATATTTTATACTCCTAAGTAACAATATAAATTCAACAAAACTCTTCGTATTTAATTATTAAAAGGCATAGTTCAAAAAAAAATGTAAATATTCATAAGCAAAGAATTAAAAATGTATATTTTCAAGTAGTTAAAGATTAAATGATACATTCAAATACGGCAAGGACTAATTAAAAGGGCTATAATATAATCCTTATTTTCACGGTTTCTCATCGCTAATTCATTGCTATTAATTGGTTACTCACTTAATTTGTATTTTACCACTATAATGGATCATTTTAAGCGTAAGTTGCTGGAGAAAATACACTCAATTATGTTATCAATCTGTTTTCTCACGCGTGTATCTAGAAAATAATTATGCACGAGCCAAGAATATGGAACTTTTTACGATAATAAGTGATAGCGGGATTCAAACTTAGTACCTCTGATTGCTTCAATATCATATTCTTAAAATATATATAGCATGATCATCTCACCTAAAAGGATAATTTATTACGTCTTCAAGACTTCAACACGCCTTTTCATATGATGCATGTGTAATTTTTTTTCTATGATCAATCACATTAAATGAGAATGAATGATGATAAAACTCGAACTCGGAATCTCTATTGGCACAATTTGATAGGCTGTTTTTATGTTTACAATCTATGAATGATAAGAACTTCCTATTATGTGAGTATTGGTTCTTCATGTTGTTACATGACAGGAAATAAGTGATAACATGACTTCCCTTTGTTGTTTGTTCATTAGAGTGTGTTTGCATATAATAAGGAATATATTTTACACATCAATGGTCCAAAATGTATGTTTGTGTGAGAGAGGAAAATTTTATTAGTGGAGGAAATTCAAGGACAATTAAGATGAGGGTGCTGGCATTTTCATACCCTTGTCATTGATTCATTGATTTCAATACTAATTATTGGGCTAAAATAACTAAATTATACTCGTACGTGGTATTATATTAACCATTACAATTCAAACTCGTGTGATTTTTCTCAAATGATTTTCATACTGAACTTTATTCGCACATCCAATATAATGCACTTCTTTATTTATATATATTCCCTAGCTCTTATAGTCTCATTACTATGAAATTAGGTGTTAGGCCTAACTCATACCCCAAAAGCTAGCTCAAAGAAAGGAGGATTGCCCAAGCCTTATAAAGAGTCAACTCATCTCATTAATCACCGATTTGGGACTTTTGTCATTCTTTAACACCCCACCTCACGCCCAGTGCTTAGCATCTGGTGCGTGGGCAATTTAGGTCTTAGGCCTAACTCATACCCCAAAAGCTAGCTCAAAGGAAGGAGGATTGCCCAAGCCTTATAAAGAGTCAACCCATCTCATTAATCACCGATTTGGAACTTTTGTCATTCTTTAACAATTACAGGTGGGAGGGTCCAAAATTTTGAATCAAGGTCTATCCAACAAATGTTTTTTTCTATATATGAATCATAAACAAGACAAGGACAATTCTAAAAGTAGAAGAAACTACTTTGCATGAGAAAAAGAGATGATAATAAGATGGGAAAGAATAATTCAGATAATCAGTATATAGACTTTACTTTTTAAAAAAGAGATTGATAAGATTATAAATTGTTTTTTATATTTGTACTAAGTAATCAAACGAATTAAAAGAAAGGCCTAACAAATCTTAGATGCTCTCAAAATAAACTATAGACCTATAGCTAGTCTATAAAAAAAAAACCATCCAAACATGAAATGTTGGACAAGAAGAATGACATCTTTAATTTCCTTTTTTTCCATAGAATGTTTGAAATTTGTATTGATGTCTCGATTAATTTAAATTCACTTCGTGTAAGGATCATTTAATTAAGGGGCACGAAGTTGGATTTTTTTTAATGTCACATCCCAAATTCAAGGCACACAACTGATACCTGTGAAATTAGGTCTTAGGCCTAATTCACACCCCAAAAGTTAGCTCAAAGGAAAAAGGATTGTTCAAGCCTTATATGGAGTCCACCCATCTCATTAACCATCGTTATGAGACTTTTGTCATTCTTTAACACCCCACCTCACGCCCAGTGCTTAGCATCTAGTGCGTAGGCAATTTTAATTTTGGGGGTCCCAACATCGGGTGAGACGGGCCCTACTCTGCTACCATGTGAAATTAGGTCTTAAGCCTAACTCACACCCCAAAAGTCAGCTCAAAGGGAGGAGGATTGTCCAAGCCTTATAGGGAGTCCACCCATCTCATTAACCATCGATGTGATACTTTTGTCATTCTGTAACAATACCTAATATCAAAATTACTTAGGTCTGAGCTGATCTTGCTGAATTATTTGCTAGTAACGCTTAGCAGTCACACACAGTCAAGAAATTAAATAAGTGGCTTAAAAATAAGCTTTCGACCAACAAAGCCCCAGTCAAAAGCTCTACAAAGAAAACAACTACTCCCAAAAGTATGAGTTAAGTCCATAGTTCAAACGGGTGGTATATTATATTTTCATAAACTCGAAAATCTTTAAGGTCTGATATAGATCGAATTGGAATACTTAGAAAAACATTCAAACGTGATTATACAAAAAGTATAATGTTTGTAAAAATGAAATGTTCCATCGACATGAATGACATAACAAGACGTATAGAAAAGTTTAGAAAATTTGAAGGGTTACAATTGGTCAAAGATGATTTAAGTATGATGCTATATATATATTAGGAAGAATAGGGAGAGAATATCTTCTACCATGCAACATGGGGCTCAAGATAAATTATAAAAGGTGTGAAAGCAAGAAAGAATATTTTAAATATATATATGTCAAAAAAGCAATGAACTAACTAGTGGAACAAAATCTCTTTCATTTGTAAAAATAAAAAAATACTAAACAAATCGAAATGGTAAGGATTAATAAAATAAAATAAAAAAGAGGTAAAATATTGTCATGTTTAATTTTTTTTATTTAATTTATATAATTCTAGATATTTGTATATAAGTTATTCAAAAGTTGAATCATATAGGTCTACAAGTGAACGTTCTCAATTATTTAATTAACAATTTTCATTATTAATCGAAAAAGGTGGAATTCATTATCACGAGAGAATCAAGAAATTAATAACCTAATCAAACTTTAGTTTATCATGAATTTCTTTAATGAATATTACGGAAATCAACGACCTAATTATAGAATATGGTGATATATTGGATTTGCTTGATACGAATATTGAAAATTATAGTTCAATTTTCTATCTAAGGGAATGTAGAATATAAGAATCAAATGGCTTTACTAGGAAAAAGAAACCATTGATTTTCACTTTTTATTTGCTTAATATGTGGTTACCAATTACTCATTATGTCCCATTTTGTTTGAGACTATGTCCTTATTAATCTTTTGTTACATTAATAAAAGTCTCAATTAAGTGGATGGTTAAGCTAAATTCAACCATATCAAGGACCACGTTTTAAATCTTCATTACTTTTTAAAAATTTTATGTCGAATCAAATTATATCAGACACACTACGTTAAAACAAGTGAGTATTAGAATTGATCCTTTTCCACTTTATTTTCCTGTTTACTAAAATAGTGAAATTCTATTATACTGCTAACTGGAGATAAGAATAAATGCTCCCCACGAGTGGTATGCATATCCTATGATTTTTTAACTGGAAAGTGACAAATGCACCACAATTTTGGATTAGGGATTCTCTCAATTTTCTAAATTTATCTTAAGAATTAAAGCATCAAATTTCAAATTAGTGTGAGTTTTGATCTACACATGGTAACATCTACAAAAGAAGAAATAGAATAATATCTAGATCAACAATGCTAGCTAGCTAGCTATGATGGTATAAACTATATGTTTATTTTAACTTAATAAATGTAGCAAACAGAAATTTAAGGAGGAAATAGTTTAAATAATGGAAAAGCTGAAAAATGTGTGCATGTCATTATGTTCTCACACAAATTAGTAAGCTCAAAATACTCAGTATAATCTTACTAGTAGAGTTTAGAGAGCTTGATATTAAATATTTACGCAGATTTTACTTCTACTTTATGGAGGTAGAAAATAGGCTTCCAACAAGACATTAATTAAACAGTGATTCTTATGAACTAATTGCTTTATACTCCTTACCTCATCTGGATATGCGACCTTAGATTGTTACTAGTTTGATCTCGTAATGTCACCTGCATAACTATGAGTAAAGAGTTAAATAGGTCGGGGAAAAAGAGTTTGAATTTTGTTGTTTGCTCGAAAAAGAAGTTTATTACATCGGTGTAGGGAAAGGGAAAATGAACCCACGTCGAAATTAGTTCAAGAAGTCAACCAACTGAAACTTCAAAAAAGAAGTTAATTGCATTGGGGTAAGGGAAGGGAAAATGGAGGAGGGGAACTGAACCCGCGATAACAAAATGAAAGTTCAAGTAGTCAATCGATTGAACTATTAAGATTTTCGCACTCGAAATTTATATTATGTTAATTATATATAATAATGTACGGCCATGTACATAAATTGGGCACCACTCAACTGACTCAACTCTCAGCTTAGTCATGTTACTCTATATATTTTCAGAATATTTCCTGCAAATGCAGCTTTGCATCAATCCCCACTGACAAAATCACCAAATAAGTTTTTTTTTTTTTAAATCTTACAGAAATAAATTAGTTCTCTTTTAATTATTTTGTGAGAATTTTATGAACATTTGAAAACAGTAAAGTTGGCATCTTTTTGCTTTTCTTACTAATCTGTGACCTTACGTTGTAGATTCCATCACTTGAAGAGCACCAAATCATTAATCAAATGTCAATGAGTATTAAGTTTCATTAATCACAACTTAGTATACGCAGATCCTATCACTATCTCAGGTAGGTGTGTAGGTAGTAAGGTTGTTTCCGAAGAATAGAGCCTAAGACACGTAACATTTTTTGGTTTTCCACTTAATAGGTCTGACTAAAATTTGAATTTGTGTTGTTTAAGGCCTATCTTCTTCTTTTTTTTTTAATGATCGTGGTGTCCAGAACAAATTTTGCACATCCCAACGGGTTACCTGTCACTTCCCACCAACAACAGATACCATGTAACTTTATCATCGAGACTTAGATCATATAGGAAGAATCACATGATGTTCTTTTTGTCTCCTCTAAGTTTCAAACCTGAGACATCAGAATTCTCAACCATTTCATCGACCCTAAGATCACTGATTAAGAATGAAGGAACTGTATCTATCTTATTATAATCCTTGGTGGTTAAGACGCATGACATAAAGAGAAAAAGAAAGCAGTGCATAAGATAGGAAAACAAATATATAGTAGTTATTAAAAGCCAAGAAAAAAAAAGGTGTAGCATGCACAAGAGTTGACATGCAGATAATGTAAGAACCCATTTGCAGAAAACTTTAAAAAAAAGTCCAAAAATAATAGAGTGAAAAAGGTGGGAAGCACTATCAGTCATATAAAGAAGTACATAAAAAACTCTTCAAGTTAAGGAAGGGAAAAGGACACATATACCCTCCCTCAAACTATCGTCAATGATATGCAGATATCCTCCGTTATACTTTTAGAATATTGATGCTCCTGCCGTCCAAAAACTAGAACATATATGTCCTTCACTAACGAAGACTAAATAGAAACACGTGACGCAATCTTATTTATCGATCAGATATTTAATAAATTGACGCGTGTATCTTCGCTACTATAAAGGGTATATACGATCTAATTTTTAGACGAAAGGGTACTAATATCTTAAAAATATAACAAAGGATATTTGCATACCATGTACGAGAGTTTGGAGGTATATTTCGTTAAGAAATTCAAATGAATAACAAAATAGTTTTAGTTCGATAAGTTGTTAGCATGTTAATGTAATATACTTTTTCAATATCAAATAATTATATATGATTGTTCATAACAAGTGAAGATAGTAACTTGAAAAATAAGAGACCTCAACTATGATCTACCAAGAAAGCTAAAATATAACTAAACATCCAAAAATTATCGTTAATCATATTTGACGATGAATTAACAAAAAAATTATGTTGGCTATGAACTATTTACCGACTGGTACACCATATCTAATTCCTGTTTTTTATTGAACGGTGAAAATCATTATAGTTTTTTAGTATATATAAATCATCCGTACATGATTAATCTAAAATAACAAAACAGTAGAGGAAAAAAGCACAAATCCGACAAAATTAGCCTACAAAACCCATAATTCATAGGGTATTGCCACATTAGATTTTCATTTTCTTTTATTGCAACTTGCCTTAGAAAAAAAAATCATTTCAAAGATAATTAATGTCTAAATCTAAGTTTCTTTTCAATCAGAGCTGCAAGGCAAGTGAAAAAATGATCTGTTCAGTGGCATGTTTCTCATTACCCACTTCTTATTGTTGGACGATATATATATATGAAGTACCCTTAATTTTGCTATTTTCTAAACAGATCTACTAGTGTGGCATAGGCAAAGGCCACATCTTAGGAAAAAAACAACATTTTCACAAGTTTTTTTTTTTGGAAATACGTGTTAGACGTATTAAATTAGTGACCTAAAGCCAAATATTGGAATCAAAATGAAAGAAGATAGTTTAAATAATTTGATTAAGTGAAAGTGTTGCATTACTTAAAGAGAAAAAGGGTGGGAACCACAAAGGAAAAAGAAAGGGAGAGATAGGCCTACATCATGGAGACTTTAACACACAATAGATACTGGTCTTTTTTCTTGTGTCTTTCTCAGTTTATATATTTATATGGTTGTTCACTTCTCTTGGGAAAACTCAAGTTAAAAGCAACTCTTTAACTTCTCTTCCTTCTTATATAACTTCTCCCCATCATCAGTATAACAAACTGCTTAAACAAAACACCAATGCCTCTTCATTGTGTAGCACCAAAACCAGAAAACTTTGGCACAGAATTGATGGCAGCTCCACCTAATTCGTCGAAGCCGGAGATGAATAACTCAGAGTCCTTTATACAAAGGGCCTTGTTTCCAATAACTTTGAAGGTCTCTTTTTCTAACTTAATTTCTCTCTAGACTTGTTAGTTACATGCATAATAGTACTCATTTTGTTTCTTTATCAATATGTTATGCAGTTTGAAGAGGTTGTTTACAAGATTAAGCAAGAAACAAAAGGAATGTGTTGTGGAGGACCATCAAGCACAAAAGAGAAGACTATACTAAATGGAGTGACAGGTATTGTGTGTCCAGGGGAGATGCTAGCAATGTTAGGTCCATCAGGTAGTGGAAAAACTACCCTCCTAACGGCTTTAGGAGGCCGTTTATCGGGTAAGCTATCAGGGAAAATTACATACAACAGCCAGCCATTCTCAGGAGCTATCAAACGTCGTACTGGATTCGTGGCACAGGATGATGTCCTATATCCTCATCTAACTGTAACAGAAACTCTCCTCTTCACAGCTCTGTTAAGGCTTCCCCAAAGCCTCAGCAGGGAGGAAAAAGAAAGGCATGTGGAGCATGTTATTGTTGAGCTCGGGTTAAACAAGTGTCGAAACAGCATGATAGGAGGACCATTGTTTAGAGGGATATCAGGTGGGGAGAAAAAGAGGGTCAGTATTGGACAAGAAATGCTAATTAACCCGAGTTTACTACTGCTAGATGAGCCTACTTCTGGTTTGGATTCTACTACAGCTCTGAGGATTCTAACTACGGTTAAGCGCCTAGCTGATGGTGGCAGAACTGTGATCACTACAATCCACCAACCATCCAGTAGGCTTTACCATATGTTTGATAAGGTAGTCTTGCTTTCTGAAGGCTGCCCTATCTACTATGGTCCTGCATCAACCGCCCTCGAGTACTTCTCCTCTGTTGGTTTTTCCACATCCATCACTATCAATCCTGCTGATCTCTTGCTTGATCTTGCCAATGGTAATTCAAACATTCTAACATATATATCATTCCTAGCAAATCAACTTACTTTAGAGGTCCATAGTTTTCATTATTGGTTTTGCTAAAGTCAGATGAGTCACTAAGCTAGATGATAAGCAATGGTAATTATTCAATACCTTTGAGTAAGTAGAGTAAAAGAGAATCCACTCATAAATTGTCCTACCATTTAATCAGTATATCTCAATCTAAATTCTTTAATTTTCCTTTTTGACCAATTACTGTATATGGAGGAGCAAAACATATGCAAACAGTGACACATTCAAAATCATGTATATGGTGTCAAACATCTCTTTAAAAAGGATCTTCAAATTTTCAGGAATCGGACCTGATTCCAAGCATGCAACTGAGCAAGGTGACAATAGTGAACAGGAGAAGAAATCTGTTAGAGAAGCTCTCATCTCGGCTTATGACAAGAACATTTATACAAGGCTGAAAACTGAGCTATGCAGTTCAGATACCAATAACTACAGTTACACAAAGGATGTTTCAACAAGTAAGTTTCCAATTAACTGTGAAGAAAGGGATGGTTATAATTGACTATCAAATTGTTCTCTACCTCGAATTAGTCACTGATTCCAGCTCTATCGTGCTCTACTCATGCAGGAAATGGTGCGAAGTCAGAGCACTGGTGCACGAGTTGGGGCTATCAATTTAAGGTACTGCTACTAAGGGGGCTGAAGGAACGAAGATACGAGACCTTCAACAAGCTTAGAATCTTCCAAGTTGTTAGTGTAGCATTTCTTGCTGGATTGTTATGGTGGCACACTCCAACATCCCACATTGAAGACAGAGTAAGAACTTTTATATGTTAGGAAGAAAACTAGTTTCAAGATTTACACTAGGTAGCTCCAATAACAGCAGAGAAGGTTCGTATTTAAAGCAACATGACAATATCTGCTAATATAAAACCATTTCCAACGTTAATATTGACAATCTAATCTTATCACATTTCGCATCATCATAAAATTGCAAAAATTCAATTGCTAATATGATATTTATAATTTGACTTCCTCGTGCAGATTGCAATGGTATTCTTCTTCGCGGTATTCTGGGGCTTCTATCCACTCTACAATGCAGTTTTCACTTTTCCCCAAGAAAGAAGGATGCTCATTAAAGAGCGATCATCAGGAATGTACAGACTCTCATCATATTTTCTAGCTAAAACTGTGGGGGATCTTCCCTTGGAACTGGCACTACCAACAGCGTTTACCTTCATCCTATATTGGATGGGTGGGCTCAAAGCCAACCCTGCCACATTCATCCTATCTCTTCTAGTAGTCCTTTACAGCGTACTTGTTTCTCAGAGCCTCGGTCTAGCATATGGTGCCATGCTCATGGATGTGAAACAGGCCACTACCTTAGCATCAGTCACAACTTTAGTCTTCCTAATTGCCGGAGGATATTACATTCAACAAATTCCCCCTTTCATAGTCTGGTTAAAATATTTGAGCTACAGCTACTACTGCTACAAGTTGCTTCTAGGGGTACAATACAATGATAACGACTACTACGAGTGTTCAAAAGGCGTCTATTGCCAGGTTGCAGAATTTCCAGCCATAAAATCAATAGGCCTGAACAATATGTGGATGGATGTATTCATCATGGCTCTAATGTTAGTGGGATACCGGCTAATCGCTTATCTAGCACTCAATCGTGTGCGATGAAAACGTGAAGAGGGAACCATTTCAAGAGCAAAATCAAATGGTTTTTTTTCCGTCAACAACAACATATAGTAATAATGTTAGATTTAGATTATGATCACATTGCCAGATTTTAGATCATATACACCGAAAATTCCAATGTAGTAGTACCACTCTGGCAATGTTTTACCTAACTGACTTAGGAAACTTCAGATGCTTGAGAAGAATAAAATCTGTAACAGTCTGAACTGAATAAATATGCTTAGTGCACAATGAAGCAAACATCAGAATCATTTTTTTATCACAGCTAAAAGATAAAGAGAAAGCAATAACTGATGCACACAACAAGATTTAGGAATATCTCTGTGGGGTCTCTAAAACAAGAAGATTGCAATAATTTAATGAGTTCTACAAGTGCATTGACCACATAAAGACAGCACCTGTTTAGATCACTAAATGAGCTTCTTTTTTTCCTCCTCTCAGTGCCTTTCCTTTTCTTTGTATTATGATTTCATGGTGATATACTTTTATAATACCAATATCAAAAGTCTGATTCAGAATCAATTGCTACCTTCCATTTTAATGCTTGGGATCTATTTAGAGCCTCTAGAACATCTTAAACCAACTTCTTCGTGAGAGCATCAAGAACAAACAATGGATTCACATGCAAAGTGTGTGGTTGGTGAGATTCTTGAAGAATCAAGATAACATTATATTTTGTTGAATGGTAGGTCAAGTTTGAACCAGCACTTGCAAATGAAACTAAATATTTTGAACTACAGTGGAACAAAACTTTCCCAATTACAACGCATTTAGAGTTTCTTCTTGCCAAAGACCTTATATAAGTTATAACATCCAAGAACAAGGAAAAGAGGAAGGACTATCATAAATTGCATATGGTAAGATAATTAATGTGTTGTGTCTGTTTGGTACAATGAAAGTTATAGTTCATGAAAACTGTTTTTCATAAGAAAATATTCTCCAACAAGTAAATATGAATAATTATATTAGCAAACTGAATACTGATGAGAAATGAAAACTGGGTCTAACTCAATTCCAAAAGGTAGCTCAAGAGATGAGGATTGTCCAGGACAGTATAGGGAGACAAATTGTCATCCCGCAGACCGATATATGTGGGACTACTAACACCCCGCACGCCAAGGCCTGGCAACTAGAGCTTGGACAAGAAAATATGGAGATCAATATCAGGTGAAACAAGAATTGGGTAGAAATGGAAATTGAGTCCAACTCAACCCCAAAAATTAGATCAAGTGGTGAAGATTGTCCAAACCGAAGTGGGATTACAAATAGTAATTTGCTTTGATGAAATTTTGAGCATTAAAGATGGATAATAATATCTAAAATGTTGGGTGGAGCAAATGATAATGATTTAAAAAGCTAAGATAGTTTTAAGTAAAACACTAGTTTCGCCCACACACCCCACAGGTTGGTAACCTTGTAACCAATGAAGTGGTTGACAACCGTTGAAGTTTTAGATTCAAATCTAAGCTTAGCCAAAAAGCAGCCACAAGGTGATTTCAATCTATCTCGTGAAATTAATGTACGCAAGCTGGTTCGAACACCACAGTTATCCAATAAACAGAAGTTTTGCCCACAAGTGAAGGAACCATACACCACACAAGAAAAAAAAAAACTTTTGCCCACGAGTGAAGGAAGTCATTTTCTCCCATTTGGAAAATCATCCATTAAGCTAAATTCCACTATATCAAACACTACATGAAACAGTTGTTCTTCCAGGTAATGATGACACAACAAGATCATTCTCCAGTACATAACATAAGAAGAAGATATACATAACAGTGAAATCAAATAATGTCATACAACAGCAGCAGCCAGATGAAGATATTCTTAAAACTACGGCTTAACAGGGCAGGGAGCCCCATTTGGTGCTGAAAACACGAAAATGGTGGAGGAACAAGATATCATATCCAAAAAAATCCCTCTAACATTGAGAATTATTCAATTCATTTGCCCCCCCATCCACAATTTTTTCTCAATAAAGGACATTTGTTTATAATTAACAGTGTCCTTTTCTTGTATTATGAGATGCACAATTTCCCACTAGCTAGGGTTAAATAAAAAGGAAGTGGGAAATTCAATTACCTGTGGGCCTTGGCATGGTAGGATCCGAACAAAAACTACTGTGTGATGAAAGAGACAACAAATCATGCCATGGTAGCTATCCAATTCTCAGTGGATTGAAGATGAATGACCATGTTAAGCTTCTATTTCTTTTTTCGCTGCAATAATATTCGATATTCATGTTGAAATCGACTAAATTTACATTTGTGTTTGAAAAGTACAATATTGGATAAATATTTCGTAACAAAGGTGAATATATACTCAAAAAAGGCTTAAATACAAATTACACTATTTATCATTTCATCATAATCTTCGCTCTTCCATCAAATGATTAGTAGGCATTCCCTATCTTAGAATTCTTTGTTAATAATTTAGAGCTCGTTTAGATTGATTTATAAAATAACTTTTAAGATGTTTGAAATATTCTTAAAGTTGTTAATATGATAAAAAGTTAATTAAATTAAAGTTTTTATCTTTAAAAAATTAAAACAAAACTAATTTATATTTTTACATCTATAAATAATAATATTTTTTATCATTCACATGTTTCTTTATCATCACAAATTAATATAATGATAATAATAATAATAATAACAACAACAACCACCATAATAAAATAATAATAATTAAAGAAAAGAATTAAGGGCCAAAAGGTAATATACTTGATTAACATGAAATGACTTTTAAATAGAAAAAAAAAAGAATCTCTCACCTAACTTTTAGCTTTTGACTTAAAATAATCACTTTAATAATTATCAAACACTTTAATAAGTCAAAAAGTTGACTATTAAATCAGTCTGACCAGCTTTTAAATCCTATAAGTTTTTTTTTAAAAAAAATAACTTTTTAAAAAAGTGATGTTCAAAAAAAAAATCTGAGAAATTCCATGATAAAGTATATTTGTTAAGCAATTTGTGTTTGATAAATTTTCTTTAAAAATGTTTTTGAGAGTCAAATTACGAAAAGAAACATATATTGATGTGCTTTTAATATTAAGACCATTTTATTGAGAAAAATTATTTCAAATATATAATGCAGAAACTTTAGTTACATTTTCAATTCAATTATTTGGAGTGTGCATATTTAATTTTTCAAGCAACATTATACATCGAATAAATATTGTTGAAATTTTTTTAAAAGAAGAATATTATTTATTACATATTTTTAGATTCCATCAGCTATTATCCTTTCTTTTTATGTTTTAATATTTTAAAATTGTAAATTTTTTAACTAAAATGAAATAATAGATAAATTAAGAAAAGTAAATTTGTTATTTGTTATTTTTCGGAAAGGTCCAAATCTTTGTTTATTCTTTTTTCCTTTTTTTGATCTTATAAAAATATCATTGTTATTCTATTTTTAGTTCTATAAAATAATACATAAAGTAATATATACAATATAATATACAAATAATAATATAAAACATAAATAGGATAGAAATTATTACTATATTAGAAGAAGACTATTTCAACATGTCTGTGTCATCACACTTAATGTTATTTTTGTCTTTTCACTATTTAAATATAGCTAGATGTCTTGCTTTTGTGTCTTCAATGTACGTTTAGCTGTCTTGATTTTTTCAAGAACTTACTGCTCACAAAATGTATCTCCTTTCTCAAGCATTCATTAGGTAATCTTTCTCTATTCTTTCTTTTGATTTTTTGTATCTCTTTGTTTTACTTAATCTAAAATTGCACTAAAAAATGTTCCCCAATTTTATCTTTGGTTGAACATATCAATGTGTTAAGATACAGATCTGGTCAACATGCCTGCTTCAGCTAGGAATTTTTTTCGTCATTCAAGTGTAGTTACACGTGGTACTACTTAACATAGGAACTGGTAATTTATTCTACTTTCAATCCTCTTCTCGGTGTTCCTCTGCTTTTGACTGATACTTAAATCTGGAGGTTTGTTTGAATCTTTCTGCTTGTTTTTCAACTTCGATTTCATGCATGATATATTGGTGTGTTTTAATTGAATTTTGGTTTTTTTTAGTTTTTTGAGATATACTAAATAAAGAAGCCTCTGCACTCATGGTCAATATGCATGTTTCATCACCTTGCTTTCATTTGGTTCTAGCGATGCTCTGATTTTTCATAGTTTTTATGGATTTTACTCCACTGTGTTTAGTTTCCTTGCCGTTATGTGTTTTATTTGTTCTCTTTTTTTATTTTATCGGGGGTTACAAGTCGGGTTAAATTATGATGGTTTCAGATTTGCATATGAAGTGTTTGATAAAAGTGTTTACTAACTACTAAACCTCTGCTTCGTTGATCAAAGAAACCATTCTTGTTGTCCTCAATTAATGCTCTTATTTGAGTTCCCTTTATATCATTGATGTTAACTTGCTTGAATTTGGTTATTCCCATTTGTGTGTCTCGATGTGTTGTCGCCATAGTTTGGTTTACTATGTGAAAAATCATATTATAGTAGTTGTTACTAATGTTGTTTCGGTACAGTGTAGAATTTGTTTTTATATTTGGAATGACAAGAGCTATTGTATAGGACTGGATTTTACCTTGTGCACAACCTCCCAAGGATAGCGACTACAATTTCCCTTGTTATCAAAAAAATTTGCACTTTCCTGGAAACTACAAATCTTGAGTTGTTATAGTGGACATTAAAGTTCTGTGAAAGAATATATCTGTGAAATGATATCTTCAGGGGCCATTTTGGTGATGATCTTATCTAATGTCTTTGTGCTTCGTGTTTTAAAAGGGAAAAGAAATTGTTTATCCTTTCATAGTTTATGAAAAGGGTTTGGCTTGTTATTCCATATTGATTATTTATCATGAAACCCAAGAACATAATATTATCAGTTTAATTCCTAACAACAATTTAGGTAGGTCTCTAAAGAGACTTGTGCTGGATAGCCAGCTTTTGGGGATAGCCCAAAATTTTGATAAATTCTTATTTCACCAACCAAACTTGTTTTCAAAATTACCATTCCTCATATTTTTGCTTGTATAACAATGTTATTGTGGCTATTATTGCCTTCTGAGACCAAGAAGAGGACCAAGAGTGTGATCCGGAGCTGCTGGATTCAGATATAAAAGGTGAATCACTGAACCTATTTGATGAAGAACTTGATGCAAAAGTTTCTCTGTGACCATTAACAAAATTTGTAGAAGAGATTTGAGATAAGTCTTACTCTTCCCGACTATTTTGATCTCTCTCAAGTGTATTACTTTTGATAGATAGAGTGGCATATGTTATTAAATATTTGCCACGTACTTCCAGCTTTAAAATGATTTTCCCTCTCCGTTGGTGCGTGTTCCTTGTTTGTTTGTTTTTTTGTTTTTATGGTTATTTGGCATGTGCAGAGAAAATATGCCTAATATTAGAAGATTATGCTCTGTATATGTTCCATTAACAAAGGTTCATAACTTGACTCGGCTAAGAAGTTTGAATACGAATCAATTGAATTTTGTTGTAGTCGTGGTACAATTAAGCTAATTTCTGCACTGATAGATTTATATGTAGGAGCTTCTGAAAAATCTCAGCATACTAACTTATAAACTTTAATTCTTGAATCATTATCTAATGTACCATGAATTTTTCATCTAATTTGTTATTGTCTACATAATTTGCATATTTTGTTGAATTTCAGTAGGCCAGTCTATTGTTCTGAAGGTCAGCCAATTTCAGAAGGCATACCTTCGATCATCAATGTTCGACTTAACTATACAGAGGGGCATTGATAGTGAAGGCCAAAGCCTGATTGCTTAATTTTTGTATTCAAATTTTACATATGTGCAAGTTATTTCTTTGATAATATAACAAACTCGAAATATGAATTAAATTTTTTTGCTTCTTAAACTATATGATCTGCTTTTTGGTAAGTTGAAATGAGATGGTACATATTATGCACTATGTATCTTTACTCTCTACTATGAAATCATTTCATTGGAGAACTTCTATTTCAATTAGATTGCAAGCTAATGCTCGTATATATTCATTCAACAACAGCTACTTGATTAACATGTTTGGCTTCAAACATCTTCTCGTATTCCTTGATCGATCTAAACAGCTCAGATAAGTTTCCCTTACCGAAGCCTCCACAACCGCCCTTCTGATAGACTTGTCCTTTTTCATCTTTGAGCATGCACCCGATTCTCTGAATTATTTCTATAAATATTGTTGGCCTGCACAAAAATACAATTACATTCACGCAGCTAAAAGGCAGAATTATGTAAATATAATAGGATGTAAATATCTAAATAATACAGCTAAAAAAACAAACTAAACAATTGCCAACTATATTTACAATATCTAACGATCTCTATATATCTATGTATCTTCATATGTACATTTAGCCGGCTCATACATTTCTATATGTTTAGATCCAACTAACAAAAATCTTCCAACGTTGGCACGGGCCACCTCTATCTAGTTTATAATATAAAAATAAAAAACAAAATTTTTGAATAAAAATCAGCCAAAGTTATGAGATATGTTGATAAGTTAATAAGAGAGATACTTATAAATATATATATATGTAAGTGATATTTTATTCTTAAAAAATTAATATTAAACATAAATTTTTAACTTCTTTTTAATGCAGAGAAATTGTTTCTGCTTTCATTAAAAAACAGTTTTAAGAATTTGCCAAACACGTAATTTCTTAAAATAAATATTTTTTTCTCAAAAAATGAAACACTTCTAGTCTCACATCAGTAGTCCTAAACATGCTCTTAGTGTCACTTATTCAATACACAACTGTCAGTCCTAGCACGAGCCCAATATTTAATAAACTTTTAGTTTAATTTATATGATATATATAGATAATTTTAGAAATTTAATTTATTTTTAAGATGGTTGTTTGGATATTTTAAGCTAATAATTACTTTTTGGTTGTATAAATTTATTGTGAATATGCTTATTAAGATAATCATAATTAAAGTATTTTTCGTTATCAATCGTTAAATTTTTTTTTTACTCAAAATGTTATAAGATATAAATACTATTACTGACATTTAAAATAATAAAGTTGTAACTAAATAATATGAATCTGAGACAAAAAAGACATAGCTAAAATGGATTTTATAATTTCGAAAATTATACACTAATTATATTAAAGCAGAACAAATAACTTTTTTTCTAAAACACTTTGAAGCAGACATATCAACAGAGACATGACATGCGTGTTTCAGCCTCACGTCTTTCTTATATAATAAGAAAATATCTTTGTAAATAATTTAAAATGAAAAAAAGATATAATGAAGATGAACAGTGTTAGCTCAATTGTAAATTTAAAACTAACGACTTTAATACATCAAATATATTTAGTTCAAAATTGTAATATTACAAATATCACCATTTTCACAAACTTCACAGATGTAAATTATATATATTTTGTGTTGGATGCTTCACGTAAATAAATATTAATTATTTGCACATCAATATAGTTATGTGTGTATTAATGATGATCGAGAACCTCAAATGCAATAATGATTTTACAATTAATAATAATATTAATTTTTATGATTGATATTAATAATATCATTTTATATCTAACGTAAACATGATATTTAATTTGATGTTAGTGACTAACTATATTCATTTGAATATATAATTGAGCAAGTGAACATATTTGTTATACATAATATCCGATAATTTTATAGCTTACATAATGTTTTACTTATATTATGTCATATAAGAAATATATCTATTTATTTAATTTTACACAAATTTGTATATAATTTAGCAAGTTAACATATTCGTTATACATGATATCCGATAATTCTATAGCTTACATAATATTTTACTTATATTATGTCATATAAAAAATATATCTATTTATTTAATTTTATACAAATTTAAATATACACATTTAAAATTGAAAGAGATAATTATTGATGCGAGCCAAATTAGACAACACAAATATAGTTTGATCAACATTTTATGGGTTTTTATTGCACTTAATACTCATCTACGAAGGACCATATACATCCCAACAGCAGCTCCCGTCCACCCCCAAACCGGAACTCAGCCGCCATGGAGGAGGAGGGAGTTGGACCCCGGCTAAGCAAGAGGTTTTCCGATAAAGGAGGGGAAGTTGATTACAAAACCAAAGCTGGTACAGCGTGGTCTCACTCTTTCCTTAACCAGAAGCCTTGGCATCCTCTCTCTTACCCAAATCAAAGGAGAAAATGGATTGCCGAGCAGACTCATGCTCAGAGAGAACTACGAGCTGAGGAAATAGCCCGCGAGGTTTTTACTCTTATTTTCAACCGACCCATATATCCTATTTCCCTTTTCATTGGCGATTTTCTCGATTTGGGGTTTTGGTAGTTTGCTTGTTAAAACTGATTTCAATTTCGGTTCTGTTGTTTTTGTGATTTGGGTTTGTTTCAGTTTGATTGATTTATCAGATTTCTTAAATTAGCTAACTTCTTTTATCTTTTCTTGTGGGTGGGTGTGTATCAGTATGCTCAAGAACAGGAATTTTTTCGTCAGACTGCTCTCGTCTCCAAAAAAGAGAAAGAAAAGGTAACCCAGTAAGTAGTAACCACTGTTGTTTATTTACTTGTTTAAAGATTTAGAATCAGTATCATAATCCAAAACAAACAGACATAAGAGTTTGGGTGCCTTAAGATGGGTATATTCACTTCAGGCTTGTATTGATATGAAACTGTTAGGATTTTGTAAATGTGGACTGAATATGTGGTGTTCCAGGATGTTTTTGGGGGTTTTGACTTGGTTGTGTGACATTTTGTCAGATGGAGATGATGAAAGCTGTTAGCTTTATGTATGTTCGACCACCTGGCTACAATCCAGAAAGTGCAAAAGCTGCCGAGATTGCTGACAAAGCAAGAGAGCAGGGGCAGGGGCATGGCAGCACTTCTCAAGACATATCTGCAGCAGGGGCCTCCACTTCTGGGTAATGCTGCTAAGCTGCTGTAGTTTTAGAGACTCTAAATCTCAATTTTGTTTAAAAAACTGAAGCGCAATGTATCATGATTATAAAATCTGGAGTCACTTTGATTGCTTTAACTCTTTCATAGGAGACCTGAAGTGCCACCTGATCAGGAGAAAAAAAAACCAAGGGCAAAGGATATATATGGCCGTCCGTTGCCAACAGAAGAAGAATTTGAAGTGCTTAAAAACGCTCCTAGGTATGTTTTGTTTTCCTTCAGAGCCGATAACCAAATTATAAAGCTATTTGAGATATGAATTTTTCAGTTTTAAGCTATTTGATTGTGAGTTGAGATTTGAGAAGCTATAACAGTTTACCAGTTTGGTTTGCTAAAGCTGTTTAGAACCACTTGTTGCTGTGGCAGTTTTATGAGCTCTATATATACTTCATGCTTGTTTTTCTTTTCTTGCTCCCTTTCAAGGAGCTGTATGGAATCAAAACTAGGAAAAATGCTTCTCTTGTGATCCGTAGAAGAGAATAGTTCTCCCTTAAATCTCAATTAGCTTGCAATATTGAATTTCAATCATTAATTGGATTGTTGGGCAGAACTTGGAGGAAAGTAGATACTAGATACTGATAAGACATGGATGGAGTAATTTGTCTAGCTATCAACTTCTGAAAAGTTGATTCTGTAGGTACTTTTTTTTTGTCGTTGTAACAAGTCAAAGCTACTCATCACTTCTTCACCAAGATGGTGTTATTATCCTTAGGCACAATTATGTAAATAGACTAAATCTGCTCGCTGTCGTCGTCCTTTGTCATTGTCATTGCGCAAGCAGTTTTGACCTCCTTTTTATCAATGATGCTACTACTTTTCTACTGTCCTGGTTGCGGAACTAGGAATCGAACTAAAATTAGTGTTATACAGGATGATGAGAATTTGAGGCATTCCACCTTTTTTGGTTAACTATATTCATTAATCACCAAGGAGTATTTACAAAACCATAACAAACCTAATCACAGTTTGTTACCAAACAGTATAAAAACTCAGACATCAACCTCTTCTATGGAGGAAACTACAGAAAATGCTGAGTCTATTTCTAATGGCCATAGGATCCCTCATATTACACATATATGCTACCTCTCTGGCTACACTATCAAGGGCCTTCTCTGTTTCGTCTCTCGTCTCTGAAAGTAAGTATGGTGCATCTAAGGTCCACTGTATCCATAAGATGAGTGTTGCAGAGTAATAGTGTTAAGATGGATGTGCGGTCATACAAGATTTGATAAGATTAGATATGAGCATGTTCGGTAATTACAACCAGCACACTTGGAGGATAAAATAATCAGAGTTGTTGTCCTAACCTTTTTCTGGTCTTTGATTGGCTTCTTTGGTGGTAGTTACTCAAATAATTTTTTTCCAGTGCTTAACCAATTCTTTTCTTTGAGTTAAAACACACTGTGAATAGTGTGATTGTGTGATTTAAGATCTTTTTGGTTACGGATATTCATCTTTCTTCTGTCCTTTTTTATTTTTTCTAATTGTAACTAAACTTATGGCAGTTTTTGCCTTACGATACCAAGATATATTAACACAAATGATTGTTCTTCACCTCTAGGCTGGAAACAGGTGTAGTTGGAAGGGCCAAACCCTTTGGAATTGAGATACGTAATGTCAAGTGCGTCAGATGTGGAACCTTTGGCCATCAGAGTGGTGATCGTGAATGTCCATTGAAAGATGCTATAATGCCAAATGAAGAGAGTCGAATAAAAAGAGATGACCCTTTAACTGCTATCCTGGCTCAGACAGATGCTTCTGAGGTAAAGTGGTCTATGTATGTGTGTGCGCATGTACTCTTTCTTTTTCGTATCCTTCCCCCCCTCTGTCTGTTGAAATTTATTCAAATTCCTAGGGTCCAATTCAACAGAGGTAATGGACCGATGTCTAACATAGACTTTTTGACTTCACCAGCTGACCTCCCAGAAAGAAGAAAAGTTTGGGGGAGAGTGGTTAAAACAGTGAACTTAACAGAGGTAGCTTCACTTTTTCAACAAAGTTAACTTGTTGAACTTGTCACCAGATGGAAGTGGGAATCAGAGGATTGGAAGTCCTTTTGGAGAAACAACCCCCTAGCATAGCTCCTCGTCTAGTTTTAACTATGCAATTTCACTTAAAGCACCTGTAGGTTGATCCATAAGGATGCCAAGCCTCCTCTTTGAACTTGGAGCTCTAATCTTGGAAGGTTGGTTTGTTTCTTGTAGTTTTGTCGAAATCAAGGTGTATATCTGTCTCATCTT